AGTGGGAAGCAGCCGTGTAGCACAGGGAGATCAGCTCGGTGCTATGTGACCACCTAGAGGGGGGGGATAGGGGGGGGGTGGGGGGGGGGGGGGCACGTCTCCTGGGCACGTGTGCTCCCCAGGGCGGGTTTCCAGGAGACTGGAAACGGAGCGCCTGAGTTCGCTGCCCTGCTCACCACTCTGCGCTTTGCGTTTGCAGTCAGCGGAGCCTGTCAAGAGGCAGCCGAGGTCCCAGTGCCTGTCCACGCTGGTCCGGCCCGTCTTTGGAGAGGTGAGGGCCATGCCGGGGGTCCTGGGGGGCAGGGGCTGTATTGCTGTTCTTCAGAGATGCTGCCTCCCGCAGGGCCACAGCAAGGTATGCTGGCCAGCCTGCCAGTGCGCAGGCTTTCTGGGTCCCGGAAAGCCCAGGAGGGTGGACCCGCGGACCCGACCTTCTGAGTGGAAGGGCCAGGGATGGCTGGGGCAAGCTGGCCTAAGGTGACCCTTAAGTTCCCAAGCCTGCCAGGGTTCTCTGGGGTCCCAGGGCAGCTTTGATCATGAATTACTGTCTTAGGATCTTTTGTCTTGAACCAGAAACACGGGGTGACTCTCTTGTCTAGAGAGAGGCCGAGAGATTTAGATCTTGGTGTTGGGTGTCAGGCCCTGGGCAGGGAGCCCTTAAGGACAACTCCCCAGTGGTCACGTGACCCGGTGTCTGTGTCATCTGCTCATGGGCAGTCGGTAGCATCCCCAGGAGCATGAGTCAGCAGGCAGTGGGTCGTGGTCAGGTCAGGTTCACACCCAGGGTGTCGCTGGCACCTGGAGCCCGGGGAGGAGGAGGGGATGTCGTGTGGCGGCAGCAGAGCCTTTCCACGGAGGGTGGGGTGCGGGCATGGGGCACGGGCGTCAGGATGCAGGCAGGCACGCTGCTACCTCCAGGGGCCTGGAATGCCTGGGGTGAGGGGAACGGGATGCGGGGGGGGACTGCCCCTGGTTGTGTGGGCACCTGGGGCTCTGCGGCAGGAGCTCATGGGGCTCAGCGTGGACAGCTGGATCAGAAGCCTGAGCAAGGCCACCACGGGACGGGGCTGGCAGCTCTGGGGCTGCGTGGTGTGTGTGTGCGCGTCCCAGCTGTGAGGGGTGGGCCGTGGGCTGGTGTGTCTGGGTAGGGAGGTGGGTGGGGAGGTGTAGCCCCACCTAGGCTGGCTGGGGCCCCCTTAGGGTCCTGACGCTGTGGGCTGGGCCTGAAGTTAGGCTGCTGGGTGGGTGTCCTGGAAGGTGTGCACCCGTTTCTGTAGTGTCGGGCATGGTGGGGATGGGCTGACCAGTTTCCAGCCCCTCCCTGCTAGGCTAGTTGCAGGGAGGGTATCTCTCTCCTTTGGGTCCTCACAGCCCCGCGGTGCTGGTGGCCGCCTGGTCCCAGAGGTCGGACCGGCGGGTTTGGCTGTGTCCTCTCACTTGGCAGACCTGAGCTGTGGGCTTCCAGGGGCAGGCCGGGGGTGGGGCGGCCACTGCCTCTCCTGGGAGCCCTGCCCGCAGGCGTTCCGGGGACCTGCCGTCCCAGCTCTGCGTGGAGGGACCACACTGCGAGTCACAGGCGAGGGGGACAGGCCGCCAGCCTGAGCCTCTGACCAGGCGCACGGGGGTCTCCCTGCAGCTCAAGGAGAAGCACAAGCAGAGCGGCGGGGGCCTGGGGGCACTGGAGGAGCTGGAGAACGCCTTCAGCCTGGCTGAGGAGTCCTGCCCCGGCATCTCGGACAAGCTGATGGCTCAGCTGGTGGAGCGCGTGCAGAGGTGAGGGTGCTGCGGCGTGGAGGAGGCCCAGGACGCGCTTTGGGTGCTCGCCCTCGGGACAGGAGGCGGCGGGATGGGGCCGCACGGGCTTCGCTCCGTGTCCCGGAGCCCCCATCCCGGCCAGCACTGCTGGGCGGTGGCAGCAGTGACGGGGCCTCTGGTCCGCAGGTTTTCACACAGCAGAAACCACCTGACGTCAACCCGCTGAAGCCGCTGCGGTTCGCACACAGGGGAGAGAGGGGTCTTCGCCTTGAGCTGCCTCGTCGAGGACCGCACTGACTGGAAACCCCGTGTGCTGTCCGGGCCGAGGGCCTCCCTGCCGGGCCACGCCCCCAGCCCAAGCAGAGGGCCGCCCCGTTGCCACGCCCCCCTCGTGGCCAGGCCACGGCCACACTCGGCAGCAGAGTGGCGGCTGGCCGTCCCCTCTGTGGGCTCCCGGGCAGCGCGGCCACCCAGACTGAGGGGCAGATATGCCTCCTCCCCACCTGGCCCGATGGCCCTCGGAGGTTGTAGATTTGCCTTGTGGTGTTGGATCAGGTACCGTATCTTCTCATAAGTACTTGTCAGCCAGAATGTTGTTTTTTAAGAAAAACCGAACTTCCTTGCTTTCCTAAATAGCCTGAGGGTAAGGAGTTGGTTTTCATAGAACGTTGAGAGGTTCCTGCCACTTTCAATAAAGACCTGACTTGGAGACATGCTGGTGGTGGCCGGGCGGGGTCCACAGCCTGCGCTCCAGGCCTCCGAGCTCGTCATGGCACGCAGGGACCATGTGTGTTCACTGGAAGGAGAGGGGCAGCACGCAGGTCAGGAGATGCCCTTTATTTTTAACCACACGCAGGTTAGCACAGCACACCCCCTGGGGGCTGATAAATCACAGGGACTTTGCTTTCCACTTTGCAGAGGTATGTGGGGTGGGTGGCAGAGTGGTTTCTGCTGGACATCCATGGGGCTGTGATCCAGGGGCCCTGTCCCCACCCCCCATTTCACCCAGCCTGAAGGGCAGGGTCCTGCTCTGGAAGCAGAGAGGGCAGGTGGGCGGGCACCAGCCTCGGCAGTGCACGGAGCCGGGCCCATTTCCACACACGTGCGTGTTCGTCCCGCTGCCCCACGGGGCCAAGGGAGTGACTGGGTCTTGAGGGGGACTGTGCCCCTCCCAGGTGTCCCTGTGAGTGAGGCCCACCCACTGCCAGTCTGGAGGGGGGGACACGGGACGAGCAGTCGTGGGCACGTGCTGGCCCTGCTCTGCTTGCTCGGCTCTGTCCTCAGCCGGGCAGGGTGGGCTTCATGCCTCCTCCTCGGGGGTCCTGGCCCTCCCTGGTGAGGTGCTGGCACTCTCTATCACCTCCATCCACCTGAGAAGAGGTTTCGGGACCGTCAGAACCGGGCCCCCACCCCACCCCACCCCCGGCAGATTGTTTGGGAAGAAGGAGGCGTGCTCTGGCCATCAGACCAGTGGGTTTGCGCTCAAACTGTCTTGCCAAGAGTAACCCCAAATAAGGGGGGCACGGGACTCAGTATGGGCCAGTTAGAAGCCTGGAAGCAGTGCTCGGTCCTTCCTTTCCAGGACCCAGGAAACTCGCCTCTGGTGTCCTCAGTGGAAGCGGGAGAGCCGAGGAGATAAGGGGGGCCCTGGCAGCGCTCCGCGAAATTACCTCCCTAACGTGTATTTGCTCTCAGCCCGGAAAAAGTAGACGTGGGACTTGAACTGGAGCTTGAAGACGTGCTCCTTGTGGATGCCGTCGGCCTCCCCGGGAAGGCTCACGCTGTAGCCCAGCAGCGGGAGGCTGGCCAGGGGGCAGTCGTCCTGGAAGGCAGCAGGGCCCGCGCTCACCAGGCGCCCAGCCCCCCGCCCTCTCCCCACACGGCAGCGGCCGCGGGGCCGGGCTCGTTCAGAACCGAGGGGGTTCTGTGAGGGTGCAGTGGGCGGGCCTGGCGGGCCTGCAGTGCCAAGGGCAGAGCCCCCCTCGGGCTCGGGTAAGCACCCCTACCTGGTGAGTTTTGTAAAAGAACAAACAGAAATTGGTGAGGACCACCCAGAGCTTCTGCCAGCCGCCACTGTTCTTGACCTTCCTCAGCAGGTATCCCGAGAGCTGGTTCTGGAAGAAGAAAAGCCTGTGGGCATAAGTGTCCCGGGACCGCCGGCCCCTAGACAGCCACGCTGTGGGCTCTGTCCTCCCAGGGGCCTCCTGGGAGCAGGTGTCTCCCCAGGGTCACCCCCCACAGGCTTCGCTGGCTCCGCACTGACACGAACGCAGCGCCCTTCCCCGTGCTCTGACGCTCTGCTCGTCGGCAGCTAACAATCTGAAGGGCGGTGAAAAGTCTGGAGAATGAAGTCGAACGGCGCTCAGTCCCTTTCCCGTCATCACCAACCCCCTGTAACAGACACGGAGCCCAGACAGGAAGGTTCTCAGACCGTGGGGAGCAGGGGTGCCCTGTAAACAGAGGCCCACGCAGCCAGCGGCCTGGCCCGGCCCAGCCCGCAGCGCGGCGCCCCTCTGGAAGGGAGAAGGGCCGCCCTGCTCGGCCCCGAGGCCTGCACCGCTCTGCGCTGGCCCTTGTGCCCCCCGGCCGGCGCCACCGCTTCCGTCCTCACACCTCGTGCTGGGGCGAGGCACACGGGCCCAAGTACATCCGCAGACGGTAGGGCCCTCCCCACGACGCAGGCCTCTGTCCCCGTCGGGGCTGGTGCTCACGAGGGCCCCGCGCCTCTGACATGTGAGGGGGTGGCACAGACGGTGGACGCGGTGACCAGGGCCACTCCGCCGTCATGGAGGCCCCAGTGAGCTGGCCATGATCCCCGCTCT